GCCTGGAGTTTGCTAAAAAACACCTGAAGGACTCGAAGATGGTGAGAAATGAGATTCTCTGGTCTGATGAGACCAAGATAGAACTTTTTGGCCTTAATTCTAAGCGGTATGTGTGAAGAAAACCAGGCACTGCTCATCAACCTGTCCAGTACAGTCCCAACAGTGAAGCATGGTGGTGGCAGCATACTGCTATGGGGGTGTTTTTCAGCTGCAGGGACCGGACGACTGGTTGCAATCGAGGGAAGGATGAATGTGGCCAAGTACAGGGATATCCTGGACGAACACCTTCTCCAGAGTGCTCAGGACCTCAGACTGGGCCGAAGGTTCACCTTCCAACATGACGATGACCCTAAGCACACAGCTAAAATAACGAAGGAGCGGCTTCACAATAACTCCGTGACTGTTCTTGAATGGTCCAGCCAGAGCCCTGACTTAAACCCAATTGAGCATCTCTGGAGAGACCTGAAAATGGCTGTCACCAACGTTTACCATCCAACCTGACAGAACTGGAGAGGATCTGTAAGGAGGAATGGCAGAGGATCCCCAAATGCAGGTGTGAAAAACTTGTTGCATCATTCCCAAAAAGACTTATGGCTGTATTAGCTCAAAAGGTTGCTTCTACTAAATACTGAGCAAAGGGTCTGAATACTTATGACCATGTGATATTTCAGTTTTTCTTTTTTTAATAAATCTGCAAAAATGTCAAAAATTCTGTGTTTTTCTGTCAATATGGGGTGCTGTGTGTACATTAATGAGGAAAAAAATGTACTTAAATGATTTTAGCATATGGCTGCAATATAACAGAGCGAAAAATTTAAGGGGGTCTGAATACTTTCCGTACCCACTGTACATGCATCGGGATCAGGAAGCTGACGTGTAGTGTCCATTGAAGATGTAGGGGTTTGAGCTTTATAATGTTAAAAACACTTGAAGGTGGTGGTTGGGGCAGACAGGTGGAAAACTCAGACTTTCATGTAGACAACCAGAGACCATATCCCGTGTTTTAAAGTGTTTTAACCAATCCCAGGGCCTTTTCCTAACATTAACGATCTAGTTGTATGTCTGTAGTACGTTTTGCTTTGGAGACCAATGTAGCTATTATACATTTTGCTGTGAGACTAGGTCGCGTCAACATACGAATGTTATTCTGTATTCAGGATCCAACATTCTACACTATATTTGTACATGTGGTTGCATCTCAAAAGAACATCATTTGTGTAAGTTTCAGCAAATATGCAGGATATTTGCCAAAAAGGACATTAAAAAAAGCATTGCATCCTCTCATTCCACCTGGGGCTTACTGCCTTCAATGAGAAACATTATGCCTTATGTTCTCCTTGCACACTGGGAATTGCAGTATGTCTCAATTTCAGTCTAGGCTGACACATAATGAAGAGACATTGGGGGGGTCTGTTCAGCAAGATGGAATACAAAAATTCCCACACACACACACTGCTTGGTATGCAGGTCCTCAATGACATCTGGAAACAGTAAGCCAATAGATTTAGCTAATCTTTTGGCACTGTTTCTATATTTAAACTCTATGAAACCATGGCAGGATACTTGAAGGATGATACTGAGAGAATTAAGCCATCCTAGTTCATCCCTCAGTGTCAATGAAAGGTTAAAGGCCTGTGCTAGAGTTTCGGCCTCATATCAGTGAAACTTCACTTTCCAAAATCCTACTCGACACTTTGCCCGGTTAGGACATACTTTCATTTTTAAATTTCTTATAGTTTTGCTAGTCATCGTTATTTTTTGTTGGCTTTGAGGAGCACTACGCTTTTCTGTCTGACACACCACTCTTCGATTCCAAGCAATAACTCACAACAAGACACTCTTAATGACCACCAACAGACTCATTGAGCTGCACAGGAAGACGCCTGCATGCCATTCAAGCCACACACTCACAATATGTCTATTAGGGCTAGAAAAACAGCCTCACTTGTCCTCAACTGCCTTATAAATACCACTGCACAAACAAGAATCATAGAATAATAGTGTCTCTTTTTGCGTGTTCTGACCATCATTTCTCAATCTTCAAAAAGCAAATAAAACTTAATTCATTACTTATCTAAAAGAACTAATTAGGAAAACAAATGCAATAAATAAATATAGATACAATATATACTACAGTAATATTTGCCTTTCTAACAAGCATCCTGTCATTGAAAAAAATATCTTCTCTAAACATGAGATGTTGAGGAAAACCTAATGTTTAGATTAGCTCTCTCCATTTAACTTGGCTTAGATATCTGACCCATATTATTCAACCCGCTGGATGCTACACCTGCTGCTGCTCTGCTCTGTGTCACTTGGATCCTAAATGATATAGCGTACTACCTCTAGCTGTCATTTCTGACCCTCTGTGACCTCCACCAGTACAAACCTTCAACTGCAAAATCGAAAGTACGCAGCATTTGTTTTGGCATAAAACATAATCCAGACTTTTAAGTGTTATTCATGGTGTTGTATTGAAGAAAACAAAAAATGTAATATTACACAAGTATGTGATGAATAGTACTTTCAAAAGAGAGTTTTCCCTCAATATCCACAGCCAAAACCATTCTGCTTAGTGAATAAACCTTATCTGCAGTAGCCAGTATAAATGAACAAAAACATAACAGGCACGATGTCCTGTGCAGTATGATACTGTGAATTGTTAATGCTCCCCCAGAGATTGACAGCTACGCCAGTTATGAAAAGCAAATATTTGTCCATCAACTGAATGATCCATATAAGGATAGCAGACCCCCTGTCACAGATCCCTTAGGGTGGCCCTGTAGATAAGAGAAGCAACTATTTCTTCACTGTTCCTGAAAAGGAGGATGGACACAGACAGCAACAGGACCCAGATACTAGGCTGGACATAATGTAAAACATATATATAAAGTATTCAGAGGAAGGAATACCCAATTAGTGAACGAGGAAAGGGTTTAAAGCAAGATTTTGAGTAAACAATCATTATGAATTTATCTAAAACAGGAAATGCCAACATCTGCTGCACAAGCTCCAAAGGGCAAATGTGCTATTAAAATATGAAAATTCCCTGGAGTTTCATCTCTTATTTTGTGATACAGAAAAAGCTGGAGCATTTTTATAAGACAAATATTTGTAACATTACCATGTTTCATACAGAAGAAAACATTCGTAACCATCCAATCAGGAGGCTGGCAAATGGTAAGGAACACAAGAGCAAGGACACCGACTAGCTAGAAAGACATTGTACAACCTGTGCACATCACACATTAACTTAACTGCTCCAGAGATGTTGTTGCTCTTCTGTCATGAACTATTAAACTGTTATATTGGCCTGACTGCAGACAGCAAAAGGTCTCAGTCACAATCAGACTCCAGCCTGTCAATAACACTGAGTTCCATGACTGATTTCTACCAGTCAACAAATCATGTAAAACAGGAGTCCAGGAAACTGGAGAAGGGAGGCCAGTGTTTAGTATTCTTGAT